CGGTGATCTTAAGCTAAGCCAGAGAGTAGAGAACCTTTGGAAACTGGGGAGCACTCCCCCCCCCCCAGTGCAGCGGTCAAGTCCCCCTGGGAAGGAGGGAGGTTCTGGATCCCAGGCACTCTCTTGGGAGGGGCTGAGGGAGGGAGGTGGCCGCCTGTCTCTGGGGTCCCGGTACCTGCACAGAAGGGCCCGGCAAGGACCAGACGGGAACGGACGCTGCTGACGGGGTTGGTGGCCCTGCAGGTATAGGAGAGGGCATTGTCCCCAGGTCTCCGGGACGCGCTGAGGGCAGAGCCCTCACGGACTGTCTCAGTGTCTCAGTGCCATGTTCCCAGGACAGCCAGCTGTGGGTCACATCCAGGCCCGCCTTCTCTACGGAGCACGTCAGGGACACATTACAGCCACCTTCCCTGGAATTCTCAAAGCCCACCGTGACGCGAGGCTCCGACAGCCGTCCTAGATGAAAGAGGAATGTGCAAAGGCCCTCTACGTAATCAGGGGTCAGGTCTGTTTCCTTAAGCTCCTCAATAATGGGGTGAAGGGTGTGTCCCCTGAGAGTCCCTTCACGTAAACAGAGACTAACAGAACCCATCCACCATAATATCTGCTTCCAGGGTCCCCCGGGCAGCTGCTAAGGTAGACAGACCTGCCTTTGGCATTTCCTACTCCCCCTGCCCCCACCGCCCAATGTCTCGCCTTCTCTCTCTCCCCTTTGCACCCCACCTCCCTCTAAACCCTATTCTGCCTCCTTGATCCCAGAAAATATTGTCACACGTTCTGCGTGCGAAGGGGCGGGGGGGGGGGCATTTATAGTTTAGTCAGTGTCTCTGCAAGATTCGAGGTAGAACATCAGTCAATGTCACAGGCACTAAGAGACTTGGTCCAGGTAGAGAGGAGATGTTGGTTAGGAGCCCTCGCATCACACAGAAGGATAAAAAGCTCGGGACTAGAGGCAGCATCCAATGCCAAGAGGCGGAATCTCGGTGGGAGGGAGAGACACCCCCCCCCCACCGGTGAGGTCTGGGGCACCTGCCCCTCTCACCATGTTGGGAAGTTCCAAGGGAACAGCCTTAGGGCCCAGGGCCTCACCGCACCGGTGGCTGCAGCTCAGATCCTGGGGTTGGGCACACCGGAGACACTCTGCCTTCCAGTCCCAGCCCCTCAAACCACAGCCCTGAGTCCTGAGACCACTACTCCTCTGCGTGCAAAGCCCAGGAGAGCCCCAAAAAAGCAGCTTTAGAATTCCCAGCCTCGACTCACGGTAGACACGGAGACTGTAACGCTGCCTGGCGGAGATCCGGGACGTCCTCAGGTTGACCTGAGCCTTGTAAGGCCCTGAGTCCCCCCAGCTCAGATTGCTGGTGAGCAGGGAGTAGCTGGGGTCCGGGAAGCTCACTCTGCCCGCGTATCGAGCGTTGGTCACCGTGATGGTAGCCGGCTGTCCCTCTCTCCCCGGAACCACCGTGGCAAGCCTTATGCGAGAGGACCAGATGACGTCCTCGACCTTGTCATTGAATGGTACCTCCAGGGGAAGGCTGACGGACTCCTGAAGCACAGCGACTACTTCCTCGGCCTCCACGCCATCTCCAGAATCCCCGTCGGCTGCAAGGAAAGGAGGAGACGGAGGCAAAGGCCCCACCGGTGTCTCGGGGCCGCCGAGCCTGGCAGCGGGGCTGTGGCGCGTGCACACGGCCCCCGGACCGTGCGGCTTCCGGGCCCCGCACTCAGCCTCGCCCCCAGCCACCTGTCTGGCTCTAGCTTTCCACTGTGCCTGACTTGAGCACCTGCCAGGGGCTGGCTTCCGTCTGGGTCGTCCCCCTCCGGGTTTTCCCTTCGTGGCTGCTGCGGGCTGGTCCCCTTTCTAGAGCCCAGGCTTCCTCATCTCTCGGTCCTGCACCAAAGCCACACCCTACTCCTCTTTAGTCCAGAAGGGCCGAAGCATCCGGCCCCAGAGAAGGTGCCCAGCCAGCCCAAGCCCCAACAGAACAGCAGAGCAGAGGGGAGGAGACTCTCTTGTCCCGGGACTGCCGTCTCTCACCTGCCCGAAGCAGCGGGAGCAGGAACAGCATCCGAAGGGCCCCCATGTCAGCGGCCCTGCGCCCGAGGAGGTTGGCCTGCTCGGCCCCCAAGACTATGAAGAAGACAGGCTGCTAGAGACAGAGCGACTGATTGACAGTCCCTAGGAGGGGAAATACATCCCACCCCCCAGCAGCCTCCGACTGCCCTTATCCTCACCAAGCCCTTCCCTGTCGGTCTTGGGAACTTCTCTCTGAGCCCCACTGCTGATCTGGTTCACTCCCTGACTCATGCTTCCTGTCCATCGAACGCCACTCGGATCCCGCTTCGTCCAGGAAGCCTTCCTAGACTCCTTGCCCCCTGTATTTCCCACCCCCCCCCCCCCCACCACCTGTCCTCAGCCCTCAGCATACTCTGCATCAGCTCTCGTTTGGAAGTTCCTGTGTCACTGTGGTCATCTGACCTTATAAGCATCTTTCTCTCTCCAGATGGACTCCAACTTTTGGGACATCTCTCTAAGTCCCACACTAGACACAGGTGGCAACCAAGTGATATTTCTGGAATGGATGAATAAATGAAGTATTTCTCTCTTTTTTTTTTTTTAAGTTTATTTATTTATTTTGAGAAAGGGGAGTAGGGAGAGAGAGAGAGAAGGAGCCCGGGGCAGGGCTTGAACTCGTGAGCCACCAGATCATGACCTGACCTGAACCAAATCCAAGAGTCAGAGGCTCACGAGACTGAGCCACCCAGGTGCCCCTGGAGTATTTCTAGTTTGCTCTTGCTAGGTCCCCACTTGAGAGACTATTCGGAGGAAGAAAACTTTCGACCCCCTTAACAAAAGCACTTTGGGCCAGAGAGCCCATTTAGGTTGTCCACATTATGGAAAGAGTAAATGGTGTGAATATGATGTGGACCAAAGCTGTAGGAAATCTGACGGTCAGAGCTGTCCAGGAGGCAGTGGTGGCCTTGCGAGGTAGTCTCCACCCCTGGTAGTCAAGCTAACACTGGAAAATCTTGGATTGTTGGACGTCGCACAACCTGTCTGGCATCAGATGGGATAACCCTTAGGGTTTTTTTAAACACTCAACTCTACGGGTCTGTGCTGTGATCAGGAAGCAAGAGCGATGTCCCCAGGACCGAGGACACAATGGGGGCAGATACATCAGTTCTGGTCAAGGGCCAGCTTTTCAAGCCTTTAGGTTGGCAGATTCAGCACTCCGTCAGCTATTTACTAAGCAGCTTCTGTGGCCAAGGTACTGGCCTGAGTCCTGAGGGATTAGCAGTGACCAAGAGTTTTAGATCGTGACTTCAAAGAGATCAGGGGCAAGGATCTGACCTCAGACAACTAACTGAGAGCTTGATGAGTTTCACCAAGGACTCATCTGGGGAGGCTAGGACAAGGGGATCTAGCAAATTTGAAGTCAGGAGGTCAGGAAAAGCTTTCAAGGAGAAACGATCTCAAGGGTAGCAGGATCTGCTGAGAGAATGAGGTGGGGTGTCCCGAAAGTTCAATTTCAGGAGCATCAAGCCTCAGGGATTGGAGTTTTTTTGAAAACGTAGATCAGGTCCCAGTCTGAGTATGAAAACGTTCTTATGTAATCTTCCCATTAAAAAAAGAAATCAGAACAAACCAAAACAAAGTCACATGCATAATGTGCAGAGTTTAAAGGGTGAGTTTATCCGTTGGGGTCTCCGAGAAGCAGGTGCTGGCGTTGGGGGTGAACGAAGTTCCACGTGGGTGGAGGGAAAAGCCCATAAAAGATAAAAAGGAAGGAAGCAGGGTCAGGCAGGGAGAGGCCACCAGCACCACCGTGCAAAGCGGACAGTCCCTGCTCTGCAGCAAAGATCCCTCACCCTCTCTGCGCAGTCACAGCTGGGCCTCCCCAGGAAGAGCAGGGGCCCCGGGGGGCTGTGCTGGAGGCTGTCCATCAACTGCATCCCTGCAGAGGAAGACGAGTTCTCTCTTGAGGGGGATCCAGGATCACCTTCGTGGCCACTGCAGTGAACACGGTGTGACCAGATTGGTTGGACCTGTCTTCATAAACAAGCATAAACAATATGTCATGCTTCTTGCGTAGAGGGACATAATTCTCTCTCTCTCTCTCTCTCTCTCTCTCTCTCTCTCTCTCTCACACCACCATCCTCCCTAAGCTCTCTCAGTCCGATGTGCAGAAGGGACTTCTCAGAAGATGATTGTCAAGCGCTCTGAAAATTTGATTTTCATTCTGCCTCGTGGGAACTCAACTCCATATCTGTCGCTCACTGCCCCTTCACTGTTGCTGTGGTTCAAAGATTTTATTTTTCAGTAATGTCTACGCCCCCCGTGGGGCTCGAACTCACAACCCCAAGATCAAGAGTCGCACGCTCCACCGAGCGAGCCAGCCGGGTGCCCCCGGCCCCTTCATTTTTGTCCAGTAGGGTGGTCTTCCCCTGCCTCGGATGAGAACTCTGGTCTTGGCTTCTGGTCTGAGTTCAGAAATGAGAACTTCCTGTCCCGTGTAATAACACAAAATTCCAACCTTAACTTCAAGTCGGTCTCCTCCTCCCCCGGCTTGGGTCTGTCTCAGGTTGGGAGCCTACGCCGGGGAACGGGAAAGAGTGTCTCTGCTCAATGAAAGTTTAGAAAAGAAAAAAAAATTTTTAATAAAAATAAAAAATAAAAAGAGTGTCTCTGCTCGCTCCCAGCTTACCAGGCACTTCTGCCCGGAGCTCCCTGCCCCCAGCTCCTGCCCCGCCTCTCCAGCAGGGTGAGCGCCTGAAGGAGAGGTGACGACGTCCGGCTAAGTGGCTTTGCTGTCTGTGGGTCTGGCAGATGGTTAAGATGGTCTCTTCCTCTGAGGAGCAGTTTTGTGGCTTCTGGAGAGTTTCTGCTGGTCCTATCCCTCCTACCCTTGACCCAGAGCAGATGCATCTCTACTCTGGGTGGTCCTTCGAAAGGCCCTCCACAGCCCCTGGACATGTGGCCAACGTTATGTCCCCTCTTCCCGCCCCTCCGCTGTCCCCGCTGTGTGGCACCAGAGACTCAGGCAGCAGGCTGTCTCAATGCTGGCCCTCGGTGATCTGTCATATTCCTCCCTGACAGGTGCCGGGATCTACAGCACATCGCACTCCTGCCTGCCTCGAGGGGGTCAGATCTCAGCGCACAACGCTCCCAGGCCTTGGACCCTCCCCCACGGGACCCATGTCCAACCTCCCCGAGTCCTCACCTTGACCGCCCCTCCCTTGGCCCGCGTCCTTTAGGGGGAAGCGGCGGGAACTCAGAATAAAACAACAGCTGTGTCAAAGAACTCTCTTTCCAGCGACCCACCCTGAATCCCCACCCCCGGGTGAGGGGTCCCAGAGCAGGGACCCAGGCTGCCCTTCGATCCTGCTGTAAATCCCACCAGGGGAGAGAGGTCCCCCTCACTCTGCTTTGCTCTCCTGACACCTGGCTCATAGACACGGTGGTGGAACCGCGCAGAGAGGCTCCCGGCTAACACCTGGCATGCGACGGACACTTTGGGTTCCCTTCCCGCAGCCTCCGGCCCAGCTGATTTCGGCATTGCTGTTGGACGGCGTCGTGACGGTGCCCCCCCCGCCCCCCCCCCCCCCCATGCCTGCACCTCTGCTTTTCCGCTTCTGGGCTTTCTCAGAAGCAGTGGAGGGCCACTCAGCCCAGGCGCGGAGGCGCAGGGGGGCCGTGTACAGACCCCGGAGGCCACCCCAGCCAGTGAGGCGCCGACTTGGTGGCTAAACGCCCCCCCTGCCCTTCCCTGCGACCCTGCTGAGGCTTGTGCTCTGTGGTTCTTCAAGGGTTGAGCCCCACTTGCCCACGGCAGTGACCCACCCTTGACACAGCCGGTGTTGGCTTTCCTCCCCTCCCAGGCTCGTCTTCCTCATTCTTTCAGGTTGGCTTCCCGGGTCACCTCCCCATAAAGACTTCCTCCATCCAAGCCCTTGTCCAAGGCCCTGCTCTGGGAGGAACCCAGAGTAAGATACTGTTGTCCGTGATAAAAATAGTTGCGCCCGTGACATTTAGCTCCCCGGTGTCTCCCGCCGGGTTTTCTTAGGGACAAATAAGTTTCTCCTGCCATCGTAGCCCTGGGAAAGAGGGGCCAGGGAGAAGCCGGTCCTGCTCCGACGGAAGGGAGGGACAGTAATAAAGGGTCCGACCTTTCATCAGACTCTGTCTCCTCAGCTTCTCTTCGGGTCTGGACAGATGGGGACCCGCACAGCAAAGCCATGGCCCTGCAGGAGCCATTAGCAGATAAGTCCCAAATAAGCCACCTCCTCACGTCTCTGTTCTATTCCACCTGCCCGGTTCGCCTTCTTCTCCAAGGTCAGGGTTAAAAGCGGTGACTGAGCAGGGCCGTGAAGGTGGCAGGAGAACCCTAAAATAGCGTGCAGGTGGTTAAAGGGCGCCCAGAAGGGCCCAGAGCTCCCCCTGCGCAGGGACCAGCCCTTGCGGGGTCCCTGAGGTGGGAGAGAACAGCCCCCACGCACAGCAGGGCACGTGGATCCCGCCAGGATCCCACCAGGCGAGGCCGAGAGACTGAGGTAAAGGAGCTGAGCGGGGCAGCGGAGGGGGCAGGAGGCAGCTCCCAGGGCCTCGAGGGCAGCTCGAGTGTATAAGGCCCGCTCTCCCCAGAAGGTCACCCATCACGGCTGGAGAAACACAGGACGGGCCAGAGGCGCACGGAGGTGGGGGGGGATGGGGGTGCGGGGGGTTAGGTAGAAAATCTGTTTTAAGATAGGAGACAGTTGAACATATTTAAATGCTGAGGAGAGAAGCAAGCAGGAAGCAGGAAATGAATGACAGGGTGGACGCAGAGGGGCCCCCACGGCTCCCAGAAGATGCGAGGGAGCTGAGATTCAGGGCCCGGGAGGAAGCCCCAGCCTCGGGGTGCGAGATCGTCTTTTATTTTAGGAAAAGACGGCCAGAGATGGGGTGGGTTTGTAAGTGGCAAGAAGCTGAGGGGAGTCCTGCCTGGTGGTTTTAATTCTCTCGGCAAAGTAGAGGTAACGTTATCTGCTGAAACTGAGGGTTTGAGTGGGTGTGTCAAAGGCAGACATTTTGGGAGAAAGGACAGGGTTCGAAACAGATCAGGTGACTCTGTGTCCAGGTTTCTGGGGACTGTCCCAGTTTACGCCTGTTGTCCTGGCCTGGGTATCAATAATGCCCCTTTTTGCTCTTAAGAAGGGTCCTGGTTTGTAGGATAAATTATGTGGATACCCTAGAACAGGAGCAAAATCTTACTAAAGGAGTCTCAGTGAGCTAGCTAAGCTTTATTATTTTTTTTTAAGTTTATCTATTTTGAGAGAGAGAGAGAGAGAGAGGGAGGGAGGGGCAGAGGGAGAGGGAGAGAGAGGGAATCCCAAGCAGGCTCCACGCTGTCAACACGGAGCCCAGTGCGGGGCTCGAACCCACGAGCCATGAGATCATGACCTGAGCTGAAATCAGGACTCGAACGCCCAATGACTGAGCCACCCAGGCGCCCCGCTAGCTAAGCTTTAAGAGTTGAGGACCACCCTTAGCTCTTCTGGCCAACGAATGGCCCCGACGGTCCGGAGGGGGCGGTGGGGCGGGCAGGGGGTACGAGAACGCACCTGCATCTGTCACACTGCCTGGGCTCCTCCCTCTGCGGAGTGGGGTCCTCACCGCACCTGCTCCGCCTGCCGGGCAGTGGTGGAACGAAATGAGGTGTCAAAGGAAATGAGCCTGCAAAGGGTGACAACCGGGAGGGTCCGTGCCTGTGAGATGTGCTTCTCACTGATGGCCCGTGACTCGGAAAGCTCAAGGGCTTTGACCTCAGGACGACCCAGAGCCCCTCTGTCATCGGCCAGGGTCTGGGGCCACTGAGGAGAATACACAGGAAGTCTCTAATGCTGGACACATGCCCAGGCTTATTCGAGAAGGTTCCCTGGCAGCACGGATCCGCCGTGGTCGGGGAGGCAGAGGGCGTCGCTGGCGGAGGCGGCCCAGCTGGGAGTTACCGGGAGTTCACGCCCCCTCCCCACCCCCCTGTGCCAGGTCAGCCCAGCACGCTCGCTGCCCTGAGCGCCGGGTGCGCTGCACCCGGCAACTCATTCCTCGTCCCTCCCAGGCATCCAGACCCCAGAGCGACTCCCGCACACCCGCTGCCCTCGACT